GAGCGAATAAGACTGGATCTCTCGCAGGGTGAGCGATACTCTACTCAAAAGGAACTGGTCCTAGGCTCTTATTTTGCGATTCTTGTCAAGAGTACATCTCTCCTTCTTTGCGGCAACTGTCCCAGCAGGAGGAACCACAGAGCTTATCAAGTCGCAGTAAATTCTAGGCGTCGTCACCTTTCCACACTGTGATATGGACTGAGTCGTGAAAAACGGTCAGTGTCGGACAATACACCTTTTACATCAACTAGGCAATGGCATAGGTGTGGAACGTATTTCAGTGATGATGCTTCGTTTGAAACATAGAAATTTAGCTGATCCGCATCTGGCACTTTTTATTACTAATGGAGCCTTCGGCAACACCACGATGCTTGCACACTTGGGGTAGCCGACAACACTAGTAAGCTCAAAGACGTTCTGTTGAGCACAGTAGGAGTTTTTTGCCCTCTTTCCCGACATATCCACCATCTTAGGGGATTTTTCCAAGAAGCGAAGCCAACTAGTGCGAGGACGTAAAGAGGAGCATAGAAAAACCCGCAGCGGAAAAACTTTTTCTTGGGCCAAATACGGTTCCCTTCCCTCTAATAATGGAGTACAACCCCTACACGGGAAATACCTAGCTACGCCATTCCCTGGCTTAGCAAGTGCTCCAATCAGCTTAAGTTGCTGCTCTTTTCATGTTCCCATCTTTGTCTCAGTCATTGAAAAAATAAGGTGACTCCCAACTAAATACAGGTAAACTAGTAATATATGACTGTTGCTGTTTCTTCCATGACGCCAAGCTTCTGTCCGATGCTTCTGAATCAACCAATCACTGCAAAACCGCTTCTCATAAAATACAGCGAATTTGCTGCTAAGTGAGTCGAAAAGTCTCGGACAAAACTAATGAAGGTTTTTGTCAGTAGAGTAAAGCCATTCCAGAATCTGGTATGAGCATTGCTGTAACCAAAAAGTTTTCTAAGTATGGAAAATACGTGTGGAAGAAAACGATGATGAGTGAACTGACATGACAACATTCAGCTGATCCTCGCCTGACCGCCTTCATCACTCACGGAGGTTTGGGGAGCACCACTGAGCTAGCCCACCTAGGCAAACCTGTAATACTGGTAAGCTGCTCAAAAACTCTGTTAATCAATGTTATCCATATCGTGAGACATTTCACCGACAAGCATGTTAACAACTGCTGCCGGATACCGGTTTTCGCTGACCAGTCCAGAAATGCCCATATGCTAGCCAAGCACGCGGTGGCATTATTTTGAACAAATTTGCGCTGGAGCATCCACAAGTACTCAAGACTTTTTTGAAAAGGATCTTCGATGAAGCGAGGTGCTCCAGAAGCCGGAAGGCAAACCCCACTAATTGACGATCATTTCAGCTTTTCCAACAACGCTAAGCGACTGTCAGAAATGCTTTTGAATCAGCCGATCAGTGCCAAGCAACTGCTCAGATACAGCGAGTTTGCCGCCAAGTAAGTTGATTATGTGAAAGCTTGACCCTTCTACATATGAGAGGAGTGGGGCCCTGGCTCTCCAAGGATGCACACACCGAAGTTGGCCTCAGCCATCAGCCTCTATTAGACTAAACCACTTTCTTGACATTAAAATGGATGCTTGTTTTGCTAGAATACTTGCTTCTCAGTGGAGGCTGTTCCGAAGATCATTTATTACCTCCCTTTTTTGCAGTCACTGATCCATAGTGATATAGCATCTTTGCACTATTTTCCAGTTTACCACCCACATGCGTCGCTGAACTAATAAGATACCTTGCCTGATGCAACCCAAGATAGCTCAAATCGCCTTCATTCCTTCCAGATTTGGACGTCTGCCTAATCTCGATCCTTATGGACGACAACTCCCATTCATTGCGTATTATCTGGTTGACATTTTCCTTGCTGTTACGGGTGTTGTTATTGTTATTACTTTTGTTGTTGTTAACGATTGTTAGGAGGTGCTTGTACCTCAAAGCTAAAAGCACGATAGAGTGAGCTCATTTAGTGATTTTGTATATGGTACCTTTCTCGATAGGCATTAATGAAGATTTTCTATTGGTAACCGACTCAGAGACGGACGCGCTCCTCTTCCTGTGGCCTAGCCCTCAGGCGAGGGCGAAAGACAGGAACTGGTCTAATGTAT